TGTGTTAGTCCACCTGGTCCAGGGTCTTCCTCTCTTTTGCTGACCCTACACTCTTCCAAATATCATGACCTTCTCCAAGGAATAGCCTCTCCTAGCCACATGCCCCAAGGATGTGAAGCGAAACCTCATCATCCTTGCCTCCAAAGAGCACTCTGGCTGCATCCTCTCCAAGACATGTCTGTTCATTCAATTGGCTGTCGATGGGATGTTTAGTGCTCTTCTCCAACGCTATAGTTCAAAAATGTCAATTCTTTGTCATTCTTATTCATTGTCCACCTCTCACATAGCAAGTAATGGGAAAGACTGTGGCCTGAATCAGACACACTTTAGTCCTCAAACTGATATCACTACTCTTCCTCAACAATTTGGAGAGGTCCCTAACTGCAGATTTTCCCATCGCAATGTATCTCCTTATTTCCTGTCTGCTGGTATCATGGATGTTAATTGTGGATCCAAGCAAGATGAAGCTACTGAGAGTTCCAATCTCTTATCCATTAGACTGCTGATCTAAAGGTTGACAGTTTAAGGTCAACAACTACTCAGCGGGAGAAAAATCTGACAGTCTGCTTCCATAAAGACTACAGCTTTGAAAACATGAAATTCTGTAGTGTTTTCACTATTTAGATGTCTAAGTAAGCTAAGAGTTCTGTGCTATCCTATAGGTTCATCATGGGTTAAGATATTGAAAATTTGTGAAGACATACTTGTAGTAGAGGTGTGGTGTTTTTTCTTTATTTTTTATTATACTAGTTTATTTACAAAATTTGAATACATTGTTTTCCAAACCAGATTTTATAGTAGAGTTTTTTACATAAATATTTCTTTTTATTGCAAATAACATAACTGGGGAGTGATTCAAGCACATGAAGCAACAACAAAATTTGAACAATGGGTATTTAAGATCATTAACTGAATAATCGTTCATTAATGGAAATAATCAATGGTAATGGGAATGATTATTACCTTAATGATCATCCATTAACGAGTTTAGGATATGCTTTCACAATATTTAGAGGTTCTGACAACTGTTGGAGGGTCAGCTACAAGTCAGTTCTAACTCAATGGAAATGAGTGAGTGATGACTTGTATTTTGTTTTAAAAAGTTTTGCTGTGTTTTAAGTGAAAGTCTGCATGGCAAACTAGATTATCATTTAATAATTTAGAATACTCTTTATGAATGCATATCTTATATTTTCATAAGTCTCATTGTACCTTCGTCTGGAACTGTAATTATTCTTTCTAGAGAATGTAAAATACAAATCAAAGCTGTGAAACTGTCATAGCCATTTGTTTCCTATGTGTAAATTAGTAGATAAATTTTTAAATAATTTACTTGAGCTAGCTTCTTTATTTCTTCCCTCTTGTCCTGAAAGAATTAAATTACACACAGACATAATCAGGGAAAGGATTATTTTAAGCTTTTACTGTATTAACAACAGATTTTTTTTTGTTTCTGCTAAGAGGATTCTGGGTATAATTACAGGGCAACCTAGAATTACATTTATTTGTGATTTCAAATGTAAAACAATCACTTACAAGTGTTAATACTGTAGTTGCCTAATATTTGATATCTAAGCATATTAATAATTATAACTAGATTTAATCCATGGATTTTGAAGGTTTCTCATTAATATGGAGAATATGAAATTCACATAACCTTTTCAAAACAAGATATCTAGATAACAGGTATGTGAAAAGGACACCATCCACGACCACACATAATTTTGGCAGGTGGCATTTTTAACCCATTTTACCATACACTGTAAGTATATATCTCTGTGAACAGAAGAGCCAACAAGGGCAAAGTTATGCAAACTTCTCAATAATAGCTCACAGTCATGAGGGAATGAGTTACTGCTTCTGGGCCCTCAGGAAAAAAGGAAAAAACTGTTCTCTCAGTCAGTATTCAATGTTAGCCAGAAACATAACAGTAATGAGGGAAATTGAAAGTTGAGGAAGGAATACAATTTGAGTATTGGTGTGGATATCAGTGTACAATATATTTTTTATACTATTGTAGAGGATCTCATAAAAAGCAGTGCTATTTTTCTTTAATGAAGTTCACTGTCTATTCAGAACAGCTTATCGACAATGGCAGTTGGTAAGTTTTCAAACTGAAATGGCTAAGCAAACTAACAGACTTTTTTTTTTTTACTAACAGACTTTTAATAACCATAGGAAAACCCTTCGGTAAATCAATCTTGTATTTGTTATCATTTCTTTAGGTTTAGGACCACCTTGCCATTTCTTTTTTGTTCTTTATGACTTGTCTGAAGACTTTTGGAGTCCACAGGGAATTGCACTGCTAACTCAAAGCTGGCGCCTCTCAACTCCACCAGCTGCTCTACAGGAGAATAGAAGGTGACCTCCTCCCATGCGATTTACAGCCTCTGAAAACTTGTTGGAGGGTCAGCTATCAGTCAGTTCTGACTCGATGGCAATGAATGAATGATGACTTGGGTTTTATTTTTCCTTTTAAAATTTGGCATATTTTAAGTGAAAGTCTGCATGACAAACTAGGTTCTCATTTAATATTTTTTTAAATGTGTTCCCTGACATAAGTTACATTTTTCACAATGAGTGAATATTCTCATTAGTTCTACTAATTTATTTTCTGTTTCCATTAAATCTAACTTCCTTACCCCTTCTCAGCTTTTCATCTTTGCGTTACAGCAAATGTTGACTTTTTACTCTCATTTAGTTGATTATTCAGGAAAGTGCAAGTGTCACAGGTGATATTATTTTCTAAAACAATTTATTATTTAGATGAAAAATGATAACCAGGAATCACTTCAGTGTCAAATTCACATGGTATCTTAGGGTCTTAGAATGATAGTCCTGGGGTTATTCTAGTTTCTATCAGGCGAGTATGTGTGGCCTCTTCTAGGTATTTGAGTTTTACATTACATTTTTCCTTCCTTAGAGTAGGACTTTTTGTTTAGACAGTTGGCAGTGATTCTTCTAATATAGACTAGATGAGCCCATGTTTACATGAGGAAGCTTACTTTGGTCTGGAGCCTTTGATTTCCTTCATTCTCTTTTGTTCCAGATGAGGAGAGATGTGAAATTTTGTAGTAAATGGCTGTTGGCAAGCTTTTAAGATCTCAGTCTACTAATCAGACTTCTTGTTGTGTGCCATCAAGTAGGAACTATTCATAGCTGACCTTCCAGCAGGTTTTCAGAGGCAATAAATCTCATGACAGGAGATTGCCCATCCTTCTCCCACAGAGTAGCTAGTGGATTTGAGCTGTGTGCCTTTGGGATTGCAGTACACCTTCTTACCACTAAATCACCAGAGATCCACACTCATCAAATGCTTCTTGTTGTTAGATGCCACTGAGTCGAGTAGACTCACAGGGACCTGTGAACAACGGATCTGAACTCTATCCTGTCCTGTGCTATCCTCACCATCTTGAACATATTAGAGCCTCTTACAGCAGTCACTGTGCCAATCCATCTGGTTGAAGGATTTTTTCTCTTTTGCAACCCTCCACCTTTCCAACCATGATGTCACTCTCCAAAAAATAGCCCTTCCTAACTACATGCCCAAATTATATGAGGCAAAACTGTGTCATTTTTGCCTCCAAGTAGCACTACAATTGCACTTTCTCTAAGACATATCTGTTTGCTCTTTTGGTAGTTTATAGGATATTTAGTACTCTTCTCCAACACCACAACCCAATGGTATCAATTCTTCTTCTGTCATCCTTATTCATTGTTCAGCTCTCAGACTCGTAGCAAGTGAGTGAAAAGATCATGGCCTGAATTAGGCACACGTTAGCCTTCAGTGTGTCACTGCTGCTCCTCAGTAATTTGGAGATGTTCCTGATTTTCCCAGTGCAATATGTCTCATGATGTCTTAACTGCTGGTACCAAGTATGTTGGCTGTAGAACCAGATAAGACAAATTCCTTGACAGTTCCAATCTTTTTCCTATCAATTATGTAGCAGCCTATCAATCCATTGGTCAGAAGTTTTGTTTTCTTGATGTTAAGATGTCATTCATGTTGATTCAACTCATCAATTCCATAATAATCAAGCTCATCAAACTAGGATGTAAAAATTTTCTTTTTTAATTATATCATGCTGATTGGATGTGTTTTTCCACAAGGCTATGGTATCAAGCCTTCAAATCCCATAAAACAATCTCTTCTAGCTCTTTAGTCAGGTGGAGGTAGTATCCACATTGTTGTTGTTGTATGTTGTCGAGTCGGAACTGACTCGTAGCTGACCCTCCAGTGGGTTTTCAGAGGCTACAAAGCTCAGGATAATGCCCATCTTTCTTTCCTGGAAGAGCTGGTAGATTTGAACAGTACCTTTTTCTTTCTTTTTTTTTTTTTTTGTACTTGACTTTTAAAGCCATTACTTCAAAGCTGACTATTTTTCTAGTGTGAGCTTCATACTCAAAGATCTCTCTAGATGACAGTTTAAGTGAAAACAATATGAATATAATGTATACAAGTAAATGTAACTTGTGCATTTACTCTTTCATTTGGTTATTAGTGTTCAGTTTAGGAAAGTGTTTGTCCAAAGAGTTGAGGCCCATTGGCTATGTAGAAACAGGAAGCAAACCGAAAAGCTATGTGATGTCCAAGCATGTTTCAGAGCCAGGAAGTTTTCAGCCAATGAAATACTTGCCCTCACTTTGAGGAGCCGTGTGTGCTTTGGAAGTGTTCCTATACCAAACATTGAACTAGTGCTGATAAGGTGGTGGAGACTTTCTGTATCTCACTCCCTCCTCCTCCTCCTCTTAGCAGAGCGGGCTTGTTCTTCATGGTCTAATCTATGAGCGTGCCATGTCCCTATTGCAATAAAAAGATAACCCTATCATATACAATACTCTTGTTTACTCACCTAAGTTATTCATCATGAAAATAATTACCTAACAGAACCAATGAAATGAAAAAAAAGATATAAAATACTCCTTTTTGAGATTCTAGTGCGACATACATAGTGAGAAGTGTTGCCCCTTTAGACAGTACATGGTTGAGTTATACCCACGTTTATTTGTGCTTTAGATTCGTACTGGAAATTTTCATACGTGTATTTGTCAGATCTTCTCTGGCGCATTTTAAACAGCCTGGCACCACGGTTACTGAGATGGGATAGCTCTTCCAGCATGATGTCTCTGGGGATGCTAACTTTTTTCCCCAGGTTGAGGCCATCAACATCTGTAAAACAGTATCAAACATATATTTAAACCTCAAAGAAAATATTTTTATACTTTTCTAAGTTTCATAATTTATGACATACTACTTGCTAATGTGGTGATTAAGATAGAGGCTATTTATAAATTGCCTTGGTTTAAATACTGGCTCTTCAACTTTCGAACTGCCCGATTCCAGATAACGCCACTTACTTTCTCTAAATCTCTGTTCTCATCTCTAAAGTCCTTAGTCTTATTGCACTGTGTCGGAACTGACTCATAGCTGACTCTCCAGCAAGCTTTCAAAGGCTGTAAATCACACAGGAGGAGAATGTCCATCTTTCCCCCTCTTTGAACCACCAGACAGATACATTTCCTTTGAGCAAACAGCACAACTCCCTACAGACTATGCTACCAGTGACTCCTTTCTTTAAAGGGCAGTTACAAGTAAAAATGCCTATCCTATAGTGTTATCATTAAGGTAAAATGCAAGGTCTTTTTCCCCCCTAAAATAAAAGTTTTATTTTATACTGGTTTACTTACAATGTTTGTGTATACATTGTTTTTCACACCAGTTCTTTCCCATTTCCTTTATACCCATCAAATTGTTTGACCCCATGATTAACCACCTGCTGCCAATCCTCATCTCTGCGCCCCCTTTCCCTCCTTGGATTCTCATACACGCTTTACTAGTTATCTTTCTATTCCTACATTAATGGTCTTACATAAGATCTGTCCTTATGGGACTGAGTTCACTCAGCATAATGCTTTCCAGCCCCTCCCAAGTTAGCGATCTGCAAAATCATTATTCCTGCAGTGTTCCATTGTGTGAATGTACCATAATTTCTCAATTCATTCAATTGCTTTTGGACATTTGGGCTGTTTCCATGTTCTTGCAATGGTGAATAACGCTGCCATGAACATGAGTGTACAAATCTCCATTTGTGTCTTAGTTCTCATTTTCTCGGGTATATTCTAAGCAGTGGGATAGTTGGGTCATATGGAATTTTTTTGAGGAGCGCCAGTATGCCTTCCAGAGTGGTTGTACCATTTTACAATCCCAGTAACAATATATGAGAGTTCTTATTGCTCCATATCCTCTCTAACATTTATTACTTGCTCTCCTGTTAAATTTGCCACAAATGTAAGGCCTCTTACAAGCCTCTTACAATCATACAAATACAAGCCTCTTACAATCATATCTGGGACATAGACTTAATGAAAAGTAAATGTCATTATTTAATTTTTTCAGATTGACTTTCCAAACAGCACTGTCAGTTATTTTCTTAGCGTGCTGTTCTGCTCTCCACATTTTGTCACTATTATTAGAATGCCTATCCTACCTCCCCAACTCACTCCACTTCCCCAACTCTGTCAAAAATACTATTCATTCTGCATCCCTCACCAGAGAGCTAATATAGAGTTGTCAGGTAATAACTATTGACTTAAAAAAAAAATCCTTTCCAATACCACTTCTGTGATTCATATCCCTAAAATCTCTACTCATAATTATTCTTATTCTTCACCATATTTTCAGAACAATGAATCAAAAAACAATGAATCAGTTATGTTTTATGACTCACATATTAATCTTTTAGTCACTTAACAAATGAATGTTATTTTCTTTTTTCCAGTCCTTAATGTCTTTAGCAAAGTGAAAAAAAGAAGTTCCTAGTGTTAAGAAGCTGTCCTGCCATCCTAAAGCCACGTGGTTTGAATCCAGTAGATGTTCCAGAGGAGAAAGAAGGGGAATCTTCTCCCATGTGATTAACCGTCTCTGGAAACCTGCTGGAGGGTCAGCCATGGGACAATTCCAAGTCAGCAGTACACAGCAAAACCAACAATGTCTTTTGCAAAATGAAAAAGAGAAATTCCACCAGTTACTCCTTTACTCTACACAAGAATCAGAAATCGTAACACATTGTGTCATTTTACTGTTGTGCAATTCTATTAAATACGCAGGAAGGAAAATTGAAATTGAGTCATCAGTAAAATAATAATTTTAATTGACTCAACAACAGTTAGAGCAATGAACTAGACTTTTTGTCTACCTAGAAATAAAGCATTAGATCTTTTTATGTTTTCTCTCTGTTTATTTTTTAAAAAGTCCGTTTGTTTTCATGTTTTGGTGTTACATTTGCATATTTTCAAACACTGACAATTCTTGCACTGTAATTTTGGAATATGAAAGGAGGAAATAAGTTATTTTTCAGTGAATATTCCTCAATATACGGGGCTGACAGAGAAGGGCTAGTTCATAATTATGATTCTGGATTCAAAATGCCATGTGTCTTTTAGATCACAAAGCATAAAAGAGACACGCTATTATTGTTTTTTAAATAATTTGGTATAATGCCTGGGAGAAGGAAATCCCCTTTAAAAACACCTTAGATTATTGTTTTTGTTGTTGTTGTTATATACTGATGAGTTGGAACTGACTCATAGCTGACTCTAGCGAAGGCTTTCAGAGGCAGTAAATAACATGGAAGTAGATAGCCCATCTTTATCCTTTGGGGCAGTGGTGGACTCAAACTAGTTATCTTCGGGTAGGTAGTATAAATTTTTATTACTAGGCCACAAGTTGTTGTTGTGTGTGCCACGGAATCGGAACTGACTCATAGCTGACCCTCCAGCAGGTTTTCAGAGGCATTAAATCACATGGGTAAAGAGTGATCACTTTTCCCACACTGAGCAGCTGGTGAATAGAACCATGAGTCCTTGGGATAGCAGTACAACTCCTTAACCACTAAGCCACCACTTACCTCCCTAGGCCTTTCATTAATAATGCAAAAAAGAGAATAGAATTCTGACACTGGAAAAATCAAAGCATGCTTTCCTTATAAAATATTTTCCTGAATTACACAAAAGTTATATTTTCAAATGAATTAAGGTTTTCTTTGAATATTTTCCAGAAATATAAAGCTTCCAAAGCAGTCTAGAGAAACCTATAGATAACAGTTTTCAGAGTAATGGAAACTTTCTTCTAATAATTAAGATGGCAAAGGTTTTCAATGAGTAAAAAAAAAAAAGAAAACATCTAAATTGTTTTCATCAGTACTAGGAATATGTTAAATAAACATTATTTTTATGAGCAAAAACCTAGACTAAGTCCAACAAGAATTATTTTCTTTTCCTTCCAATAGATAAATCAATGCTGTAATTTGCAGGGCTTCAGACAGGTTCTTCCTAATTCTGAGCTAGCTGACAAAGTGAAAACAGAACAAACCTGAATTTATTCAATGTGGGTATACTAGATGATATTTGATATTTGTTGTTGTTGTTATGTGCCGTCGAGTCGCTTGCGACTCATAGCGACCCTATGTACAAAAGCCCTAAACTCTGCTCAGTCCTGTGCCAATCGCATTGTCTCCGATACACCCATCCCAATTACCCCAGTCACTGAATCAATCCACCTCATAGTGGGGGCCTCCCCCTCCTGCGCAGTCCGTCCTCCGCCGTACCAAGCATGATGTCCCTCTCCAAGGACCGGTCCCTCCTGGCAACAAAGTACGTTAGACGGAGCTTCAGAATCCTTGCCTCCAAGGAAAAAAAATAACAAATCAATTCTCTGCCACAAATTTAATCTTCCTCTTCTAAAACTAAGGAGCCCTGGTGGCCTAGTGGCAAGAAGCTGTGCTGCAATCTTGACCGCACGTGGTTCGAGGCCACCAGCTGCTCTGCGAGAGGATAGGCAATCTCCTACCCTGCGATTAACTGACTCTGAAAACCTGTGGGAGTGTCACCGATGAGTTGATTCTGACCTGACAGTGAACAACACAACAACCACTTATAAAAATAAGGCATTGTACATTCCCCCCAGCAACCAAATCTCTTAACTGATGAGTTGGAAACAACAGTACCTGCTTCAAAGATGAAGGCCACTTGTGTTACTTTAAATACGTGTCAGAGGAGACCAGTACATAAGTGAGCCATTAGCACAAATTGAGACTTGGGGACTGAGTTCAGTCGATATACTCTTTCCCAGTCTGTCTTTCCATTTTACCTTGTTGGAGGAGTCTTCTGTTGTGCATAGGGATTTGATTCTTAGAAGGTCGCATTCATCTGTTTTATTCTTATCTGGTTGTAGGTTTTTTCGGATGCTTGGAAGGTTGTTCATTTTGTGAATTAGGGCTTCTAGAATCCTTCCAAGCTTTTCTCTGATGAAATTTATAGTCCTTGATTTTACTCCTAGGTCTTTGATCCACTTTGAGTTGGTTTTTTTTGCCTATGGTGTGAGGTGTGGGTCTTGCTTGTGTTTTCTGCAGATAGTTTTCTAATTTTGCCAACATAATTTGTTAGAGGCTTTCATTTTCCCACTTAACTGATTTCATCACCTTGTCAAAAATTAGTTAACCATAGGTTGATGGGCTGATTTCTGGGTTCTTAATACTATTCTATCTATCTATCTATGTGCCTGCTACCATACCTGTACCATACTATCTTGACCACCATGCCCAAACCTACTCTTAAAATGTTTTCTAAATTCATGTGGAATAAACTTAAACTCAAATTTTGTTTCTCATGGACTTGTTTTAATTTTCTGTATATTTAATTTACATTTGCACATCAATAATTGCTGCTCTGTTTCACAGTCAGTGTTTGGACTGGTTTTGATTGCTGATATTGAACTGCTCCAAAGATTCCTTCCACTAGTACAGTCTATCTGGCTCCTATATAGTCCATTACATGAGGTCCAGGTGTAAAGTTTCAGTTTATGTTCTTTGAAAAAGGCATCTGTGGTATAAAATCACTGAATGTCCAAAATTCTATCATTTTATTTCTGACCTCACTTCTATCACCAATTGTTGTTTCTTTCTGACTACAATTGGTTCTACTTTATCACCAACTTTTGCATTACAGTCACCAATTATCATTAACACATTTTGAATGCATCTTTGGCCAATTTAAGACTTCAAAATCTGGTAGTAATCTTCAACTTCCTCCTCCTGTTGTTTTTTAGGAGATAACTTGAAATTGTCTTTTTAACTATGAATGCAACACCATTCCTCTTCTGTTTTTCATTCC